GTCCTTTTAGTATCTTCTAGCAATTTAGGTAGCCACTTAGCTAGCTACTCAATCAAATCCACTGTTGACTATTTCAAACGAAATGTTAAATTATGTTAATTCTTTTGTATTTATAGAATCATTAATATTGAAGTTCTACCATAATAAAAATGATAGGAACCAAAGGGTTTCTTTTTATTCCCCAAAAAGAAAATATGTGCAATGATATTCTGCTGGATATCTTTGGTTCATCCCAGCAGATCCCCTTTCTATCCCTCTCTACCCTGCTTCTTCTTGTGATGATGACTGGTATAGATATCAAAGAACTCCCTAGACTTCTGGCTTCTGTAATTAGAGAGAACGAAGAGAATGAGTGTCTTCCTTCCCAACGTTAGCTTCAGGAAGGCTGTATCTCTCCATTGAAGGTCAATGAGCCTTTCAAGAATGTCTTCAGTACATGATGCTCTCTTTCTATTCCCTTCAGTGCTATCAATGATAATAGACGCATGGATACTAGATCTATATATAGCAGGATTCTCTAGCCCCCCCTATTTGTAAAAAGTTTTCATTAAGACCTCCCCAAATTATCCTACTCTGAATATGGCTAATAGGACCCTGAATGATATAGATTCTTCTTTTGTGATATTTTTGGGACATTAAAAGAAAATTTCCCTGGAGAAATGGTTGATTCCAGGACTGATAGCAGGCAAAGTATAAAATGAGCGTAGAGCACTTTGCAGTGCCACAAAGTAAGTGCTAGAAACAAAGCAAAACAAAATTAATAGGCAATGTCAAAAGGATATAGGTCAATCAAGAAAGTTCCCAATCGCCACAGCTACAACAAATTGAGCAATGAAATAAATACAACAGTATTGGATTTATAACACAAAATAGAAAATAAATATCCATGAGTCAATCCTGATATAAATGAATGACTGAATGAATGAGAGATAAACTTCCCATACAGAAGAATTCTAAATAATTCATTCATTGAAGCACAACCCCCCAGTCCTTAAGTGTAGGCTTCATAGATTGACTTTCTTCTGAAGTATATAGTATAGAAAGGGAGAAGAAAAAGAATAACTTAATAGCAGAGCAAACTGACAAACACTATTTCAAGCCAGACAATCAAAGTTAACATTAAGAATGGTAAGTCATATTGACAGGACATACCCTTGATATAATGTGATGAAAATATCCCTTAACTTCTTTGTTTTCCTCCCCAAAACATATTTACCCCAGTCTAATCTTGAGAAAAACATCAGAAAAATCCTAATTGAAGGACAGCCTACAAAATACCTAATCAGTACTTCTCAACACTGTGAAGGTCATCAAAAACACAAAAAGTATAAGAAACTGTCACAGCCAAGAGGAGACATCCTACTAAATGCAGTGTAATAAAAATAAATTCAAAATGGATTAAAGACCTAAATATGAGAAATCCTAGAAGAGAACACAGGAAGTAACCCCTTTGACATTGCTGTAACAACTTTTTTCTAGATAAGTCTCCCAGGGCAAAGGAAACAAAAGCAAAAGTAAACTATTAGGACTACATCAAAATAAAACACTTCTGCACAGTGAAGGAAACAATCAACAAAAATAAAAAGCAACCTATAGAATAGGAGAAGATATTTGCAAATGACATATCTGATAAGGGGTTAGTATCCAAAATATATAAATAACTGAAGGGGCGCCTGGGTGGCTCAGTTGGTTAAGCAACTGCCTTTGGCTCAGGTCATGATCCCAGGGTCCTGGGATCAAGCCCTGCATCAGGCTCCCTGCTCAGCGGGAAGCCTGCTTTTCCCTCTCCCACTCCCCCTGCTTGTGTTCCCTCTCTCGCTGTGTCTCTCTCTGTCAAACAAATAAAATCTTTAAAAAAAAAAAAAAAAAAACTGAAACAACTCAAAAAACAGATATTTAATTAAAAATGGGCAGAAAACATGAACAGTCATTTCTCCAAAGAAGACATCCAGATGGCCAAGAGACACATGAAAAGATGTTCATCATCACTTACCATCAGGGAAATGCAAATCAAAACTACAACGAGATATCATCTCACACCTGTCAGAATGGCTAAAATCAACAACACAAGAAACAGCAGGTGTTGGGGAGGATGTGGAGAAAAAAGAACCCTCATGCCCTGTTGGTGGGAATGCAAACTGGTGCAGCCGCTGCAGAAAATAGTATGGAGGTTCCTCAAGAAGTTAAAAATAGAACTACCCTACCATCCAGTAATCACACTACCAAGTATTTCCCCAAAGAACAGAAAAACACTAATTCAAAGGGATACATGGCACCCTATTTTTATAGCAGCATTATTTACAATAGCCAAGATAACAGAAGCAGCTTAAGTGCCCATCAATTGATGAATGGATAAGATGATGTAGCACATATACACATTGGAATATTATTCAGCCATAAAAAAAGAATGAAATTGTGCCATTTGGCAATGACCTGGATGGAGCTACAGAGTATAATGCTAAGCAAAGTAAGTCAGTCAGAGAAAGACAAATATATATGATCTCACTCATACATGGAATTTAAGAAACAAAACAAACAAGCAAAGGGGAAAAAAGAAAAACAAACCAAGAATCAGATTCTTAACTACAGAGAACAAACAGATGGTCACTGAGGGGAGGAGGTGCAGGGATGGGTGAAATAGCTGCTGGGGATTAAGGAGTGTGCTTGTCGTGATGAGCACCGGGGGTGATGTATGGAAGTGCTGAATCACTGTACTATACACCTGAAACTAATAGAACACTGTATGTTAACACTACTAGAATTAAAATAAAAACTTAAAAATAAATAAATGCAATGTAGTATCCTAGATGGGATCCTGAAATATAAAAAGGACATTAGGGAAAAACTAAGGAAATCTGAATAAAGTATGGACTTCAGTTAATAATAATGTATCAATATTAGTTCATTAATTTTACCATACTAATGCAAGATGCTAATAACAAGGGAAAATGGAAATGGGGTGTAAGAAATTTTATGTTCTGTATCTATAAGGACTCTGTAAATCTAAACCTATACTCAAAAAGTTTATTTGAAAAAGAAGCTTACTGTTTAATTTCACAGCTTACTGTTTAACCAAAGACACTGTCATCATAAAAAATGAAATATCATAAATCATTTTCAAATCATTTGGAATCTAGAATTTTAATTATGAGCATATGACATAATGGGGAAATTACTTAAAACTCATATCACAGGCAGGGGGATAACAATAAATAGGTAAACAGCTCCAAAAAAAAAAAATCAAGAGAAAAAAGAAATACCTAACAGTTTGACAGGAAAATAGACAAAATAAATGAACAGAATTATCCAGAAAAATAAATTAAAATGACCATCAACATAGGAAAAGATGAATGTCCCACTCATATTGAGAGAAAGGAAAATTTAAACTACACTAAGATACAGCTAACTGATGGAGTTCCCAACAGCCACTAGCTATCTCACCTCAGATAGGCAAAAATCTAAACTCCTGACAACATGCTATGAGGCTGTGGGCATACAGGCATTCTTGTACACTTGTTAGAAATGCAAAACAGAGGGGAATTTGGCAATATGTGGTTAAATTACATATATGTTTATTCTTTTATACAGAAATCTTATTTAACACTGGCCAAAATATTATTAAGACTGACTCCCAAGGGTATTTATTATAACAATATCTGTAATAACAAAAGATTAAAAACAACTCAAATGTGCATCAATAAAGGAACTGAATGAATACACCAGGCTAAACCTCCACAATGTAATATTATGCAACATACAAATGAATAGGAATGAAATCTATATACAATATTGCATGAACTTGGGTTATGTTAAGTAAAAACCAAGGAACAGAACAGTATATATAGTATGCTGCCTTTAGTGAAAGAGGCAGGAGGAATATAAATATACATATGTATGTACACACACACACACACACCCCCATACTCGAATTTGGGGTGTAAGAAATTTTATGTACTATTAAGGGATACGTTAACAGGATAAAAGGATAAACCAAGTAAAAATGATTACTACAGAGGATTAAGAGGGAAAATAAGGAAGAAAATTTTCTTGGAAAATGTTTCATTCCATAGTTTCATCCTCAGATAGATTTACCTCCAAGCTAATAAAGGCAAAGCTTCAGGGCTTCTTGCTTGCATCAGCCCCTCCAAGGATTTAGAAGGACACTCTAACAATATGTTCTCATGGTTAAATATTTTGTAAACTTTTTTAAAGTAAATTATTGTTCCATGATTCTTCTTAAAGAGTGACACCAAACTAGCATAAGCTTTAGGCTCCATTAAACTTTACTGGATCTATGGCTTTCAACTTTGGAATCATATAAATGTTTTACATGATCAAAAAAAAAGAACCAACAAAGTTTCAATTATTATAATTTGATGAACCCCACATCCTTCATTCTGGAACATTATAGATCAGTATGTGAACAAAAAGCAAAACCTCACCCATTAAAATTGTCAGTATAAGAATATAACTCTATTTCTAGCACCATTTTTTTTACTAAGCAATAAGTGAAAAATTTTAAATCCCTTTACTAACCTCTTAATTGATATTCAAATTTGATTTTTAAATAAACTGTACTTCATGATCATTCTCAGGCATGTACTTAACAGGTAAAAGGATTGAAGAGATGAAGAAAGAATACTAAACCACAATTCAGAAACTCGAGTTCTACTCCAGGATCTGCCTCTTCAACGTCTGGATAATTTTGATGAAGTCATTAAACCTTACAGACCCTTCATTTTTTTCTCATTTGTAAAACTGAGAAATTAAAATGCAAGCAAATAGTTATGCTTTCCGTGTACTTCTCATTAGTATGTTTGTTGTTACTTTTTTCCCCATAAGAAACTGATTTTTTTCCAAAGTAATAAATTCTCGACTGTCACATATGAGGATGTGAAAAACAACTGACCTGGGAAAGAGAGCATCACCCTCTCTGACTATAGAATAATACCCCATTTGTGTCCGTGCAGGAAAGTATAGTGCTGATGGCTGCTTACCGCTGGTTCTTCACTGATGAGAAAGCTGGTCTCTCTGCTGCTCAGGGACTGCTAACAGTAACATGGGGAAGACAGAATGCTGTTAATAATAATGCAAGTGGGGAGCATGTCACTTTCAACAACACAAATTCTAGGTTCTCAATACAGAAATACTAAACCTGCAATTCAGAGGACTTACAAAACACTTGAAATTGAATGCAAAACTGTGTGTATGTATGTGCATCCATGCGCATGTGTGTTAATGCTTGTGTGTGTGTGTGTGTGTGTGTGTGTGTGTGTGTGTGTGTGTGTGTAGAAAGAGAGAGAGAGCTTGGGAGAGAATGGGACTTTTGCAGGCAGCTTTATCAAATCATAAAAAAAAAAATCTGAGATGCGAGAAATGGTTAAGAAACTACTATATTATAGAGAAAACAACAAAAAGCGCCACTCTTTGAATGATGCTGTGTCCTGAACAGGACCACAAGGAAAGGCAGAATTAATTGGCTATTTTAGACTTTTCAACATTTGTTTGGAATTATTAAATAAATATTTATTAAATAATTAAGTTATTTAATTTATCAATTTATTAAATTATTAAATAAAGTGAATACCTTAGGAAACCCGAATTCTTAAGGATCTGTACTTACAACCCAAGAAAAGAAGGCATACATGGATATAAATACACACAGAACACTTGTAATTAAAGCAAGAGCGATGCCTGGTGTTTGGTGGATTTTAAATCCTCATGTTCCCCGACAGATTGCACACCACAGCACATGCTCCTGAGACGACACCCTGTCACTTCTCCGGGGTCTCCAGTGATAGGTACCGGAGGGTGCTATGGAGAGGCAGCAGTCAGCAAAAATGACCTGAAACTCATGTCTAGACTGGGAATTCACTTACCTGGTTCCTGGAAAATCACAAACAGCATCATTATACCCAGGTGATGTTGGGCTGACCAGTTTTGAAAATAGGAGATAAAAAGTACTATCAACATTTAAAAAAAAAGAAATCAAAGGGCACCTTGGAAATACATCCAATGCTATGAAATTTAAGTTGCAAAATGTGCCACAAAAAAAAAAAACAAACCACAGTAATTTATCTATGTTCTTAAGGAAGACAAGGAAGAGAATTTTGAACACCTATTAATTTTCATATTACAGTATTCAAAATAAATTCCATGAAAAGATGAATGCCATCTATGGTATTAAAGCTATACTGAAACAGTTGGAAGAACTATGGTAGACTGAGTCTAAGAGTAAATATATGCTCAAAATCCTCTTTCACTGATGTGTGTTCTGCCTATGGACTTTGAATGAATTCCATTAACTCACCTGAGCTAACGAATATCTTGATCACTCAATTCCAAAATAGCAGCCTATAATAATAAATTGTGCATCCACATTTCTGCCTTAAAGATAATATATGAATCTATTATAGGTTCACTTTATGTTGACTCCTCATAACCTAATTTTTTTCAATTATGGTAGAGAACAGCCAGTTGCTTACTTACAAGAAGGTACAAAAAAACCATACATTAAATGTCCCAAAAGCAACCGGGCTCGTCACTTTACAATCTCTCACTGTAAGAAACATGAACTTGCTGTGACTTTTCAATCAAAAGTTGTGAGTGTATCTTCAATTTGTAAAATAAAATTCACATAGGTTTCCTCATACTTTTTGCTGAGTATTTCATTGTTTCATTTGTCACTGACCTTAGTCTCAGGCCAAAGGACAATCTCAATTCTACATTTCCCCCTTCCATAACCATCACTTTCCTGTCTCGGGCTGCCTCTTTCCTGACCCCAACCATTAAGGAATTGAATGAAATGGTACAAAATGGAATGAAATGAACAAACAGATGAATGAATGATGCAAATCCCAGCAGCAAAACAAAAACAAAACAAAACAATGTGGCAATATTCAGAAGATCTAGACATCACCATAGAAACTAAGTAGCAATCCTGACTATTCTAAATGTGAGAAGCAATTGTTTGGAAACTGAAATTCAGGGGGAAAAAAGTACTTCTATATAGGATTCTTAAAAGAAGCAATATTGTAGAGTGATTAAGAGAGCAAGCTCTAGAATCAGCTTGCCTGGGTTCAGAAACCCAACACCAGAATTTTATGGATATAACAATAAACTAGTTTAGATAGTCTCATTTTAGAGACTCTTCATAACCTTTTTCTTCAATTATGCAAAACTAATGGCTTGATACATATAAATTTGAGCAAGTTAACCTCTCCACGCCACAGTTTCAGTACAGTGAAATTAAATATAATACATGGGAAGTTTTCAATAGATGTTGACATTTTAAAATTAATTTTTGCTTAATTTCTAGGGATCATATCATAAATTTAATATATCATCCCATAAATTTTTAATTCACATGCATTCTCTGGATCTCCAAATAATTCTAACAATGTTCAGTGATGACCTATATCAACTGTAGATCAGAGGTAATACTCTAGAATTTAGTCCTTTTAAAGTTTAAGCAATCGTGAAAACAGAGATCATTTGAAAGTATAAGAAAATTTTAAAATAGTGAGCCTAGAATTTCTATGTATTCTGTCTTGTAAAAGGCCCAAACATTCTTCATAGCTATGAATTTGCTAATGGACTAAATTAAATTATTCTGATTGTCTTTGCCTCAATCCAAAGCTTGAATGAATATTCTCTAATTACTATGTCATTTTAAAAAAAATTGACTACAATGTAGATTTTGTGTTTTTACAGCATTTGAGTCAATAAAAGGAAATCAAGTTGGCATTGAGTAAAAGTTAAATAAGTTGTATTCACTTATCTTTTTTCTTTTCGTTTTAAAATAATTATACATTCCTAGGAATTTGCAAAGATAGCAGAGAAATCCCATGTGCCCACCACCCAGTTTCCCCCAATGATTAATGCCTCACATAACTGATACAACCTCAAAACCAGGAAACTGACATGAGTACAACGTGCATGTATAGCAAGCACTGTGTTGTATCACATGTGTACATTTGACTAAAAACCAGCCCAATACTCAGAGCAATTCTAGCTATAAGGATCTCCTTTGTGCTGCTCCTTTTTTTTTAATTTTATTATGTTAATCACCATACATTACATCATTAGTTTTTGATGTACTGTTCCATGATTCATTGTCTGCATATAATACCCAGTGCTCCATTCAATAGGTGCCCATCACCAGGCTAACCCATGCCCCCACCCTCCTCCCCTCTAGAACCCTCAGTTTGTTTCTCAGAGTCCATAGTCTCTCATGGTTCATCTCCCCCTCTGATATCCCCCCCCTTCATTTTACCCTTCCTACTATCTTTTTTTTTTTTTAACATAAAATGTATTATTTGTTTCAGAGGTACAGGTCTGTGATTCAACAATCTACACAACTCACAGTGCTCACCAGAGCACATACCCTCCCCAATATCTATCACCCAGCCACCCCATCCCTCCCACCCCCCACTACTCCAACAACCCTCAGTTTGTTTCCTGAGATTAAGACTCACTCATATCACTGAGATCATATGATACATGTCTTTCTCTGATTCACTTATTTCGCTCAGTATAATACCCTCCAGTTCCATCCACATCATTGCAAATGGCAAGATTTCATTCCTTTTGATGGCTGCATAATATTCCATTGTGTATATATACCACCGCTTCTTTATCCATTCATCTGTTGATGGACCTCTTGGCTCTTTCCATAGTTTGGCTATTGTGGACACTGCTGCTATAAACATCGGGGTGCATGTATCCCTTCGGATCCCTACATTTGTATCTTTGGGGTAAATATCCAGTAGTGCAATTGCTGGGTCATAGGGTAGCTCTATTTTCAATTTTTTGAGGAACCTCCATACTGTTTTCCAGAGTGGCTGCACCAGCTTGCATTCCCACCAACAGTGTAGGAGGGTTCCCCTTTCTCCGCATCCCTGCCAACATCTGTCATTTCCTGACTTGTTAATTTGAGCCAATCTGACAGGTGTGAGGTGGTATCTCATTGAGCTTTTGATTTGGATTTCCCTGATGCCGAGTGATGTTGAGCACTTTTTCATGTGTCTGTTGGCCATTTGGATGTCTTCTTTGGAAAAATGTCTGTTCATGTCTTCTGCCCATTTCTTGATTGGATCATTTGTTCTTTGGGTGTTGAGTTTAATAAGTTCATCATAGATTTTGGATACTAGCCCTTTATCTGATATGTCATTTGCAAATATCTTCTCCCATTCTGTCTGTTGTCTTTTGGTTTTGTGGACTGTTTCTTTGGCTGTGCAAAAGCTTTTTATCTTAATGAAGTCCCAAGAGTTCATTTTTGCCTTTGCTTCCCTTGCCTTTGGTGATGTTTCTAGGAAGAAGTTGCTGTGGCTGAGGTCGAAGAGGTTGCTGCCTGTGTTCTCCTTTGGGATTTTGATGGACTCTTGTCTCACATTTAGGTCTTTCAACCATTTTGAGTTTATTTTTGTGTGTGGTGTAAGGAAATGGTCCAGTTTCATGCTTCTGCATGTGGCTGTCCAAATTTCCCAACACCATTTGTTGAAGAGACTGTCTTTTTTCCATTGAACATTCCTTCCTGCTTCGTTGAAGATTAGTTGACCATAGAGTTGAGGGTCCATTTCTGGGCTCTCTATTCTGTTCCATCGATCTATGTGTCTCTTTTTGTGCCAGTACCATACTGTCTTGATGATCACAGCTTTGTAATAGAGCTTGAAGTCTGGAATTGTGATGCCGCCAGGCTTTGCTTTTCTTTTTCAACATTCCTCTGGCTATTCAGGGTCTTTTCTGGTTCCATACAAGTTTTAGGATTATTTGTTCCATTTCTTTGAAAAAAGTGGATGGTATTTTGATAGGGATTGCATTAAATGTGTAGATTGCTCTAGGTAGTACTGACATCTTCACAGTATTTGTTCTTCCAATCCATGAGCATGGAATGTTTTTCTATTTCTTTGTGTCTTCCTTAATTTCTTTCATGAGTATTTGAGTTTTCTGAGTACAGATTCTTTGCCTCTTTGGTTAGATTTATTCCTAGGTATCTTATGGTTTTGGGTACAATTGTAAATGGGATCGACTCCTTAATTTCTCTTTCTTCTGTCTTGTTGTTAGTGTATAGAAATGCCACTGATTTCTGTGCATTGATTTTATATCCTGCCACTTTACTGAATTCCTGTAGGAGTTCTAGCAGTTTTGGGGTGGAGTCTTTTGGGTTTTCCACACAAAGTATCATATCATCTGCAAAGAGTGAGAGTTTGACTTCTTCTTTGCTGATCTGGATACCTTTGATTACTTTTTGTTGTCTGACTGCTGTGGCTAGGACTTCTAATACTATGTTGAATAGCAGTGGTGAGAGTGGACATCCCTGCCGTGTTCCTGACCTTAGGGGGAAAGCTCTCAGTTTTTCCCCACTGAGAATGATATTTGCTGTGGGTTTTTCATAGATGGCTTTTATGATATTGATACCCTCTATCCCTATACTCTGAAGAGTTTTGATCAAGAAAGGATGCTGTGCTTTGTCAAATGCTTTTTCCACATCTACTGAGAGGATCATATGGTTCTTGTTCTTTCTTTTATTAATGTATTGTATCACACTGATGTTTGGGGGAGGAAAACAGACATAACGTTCACTGTTCCTTTAAAAGTTATGTCTATTTTCCTCCCCCAAACATCCATAACCCCTAGCAACCACTAATTTTTTCTCCATTTCTTTTTTTTTTTTTTAAGATTTTACTTATTTATTTATGAGAGACAGAGAGAGGGAGAGAGAGAGGCAGAGGGAGAAGCAGGCTCCCAAGGAGCAGGGAGCCCAATGCGGGACTCGATCCCAGGACTCCGAGATCATGACCTGAGCCGAAGGCAGACGCTTAACCATCTGAGCCACCCAGGCACCCTTTTTCTCCATTTCTATATAGTCATTTCAAAAGCTATAAAAATAGAATCATACAGTATGTGGACTTTGAGATTTTTTTTTCCTTAAACTTAATGCCCTGAAGACCCATCCAAGCTGTGTGCATATC